CCTACAGTCAGTATTTTCCCTTAAAAATGCCAACAAAAGCCTTTCGTTAAACCAGGCGTGGGGAACTCCAGGTCTCCTGCAGGTCTTAGATCTCACCCTGGGTCAACACGCCTGAATCAAATGATTAGTTCATATCCAGGCTTCTGGAGAACTTCAAGACACGTTGAGGAGGTCATTTAGCCATTTGAATCAGCTGTGATGGATCAAGGACACATCTAAAACCTGCAGGACACCGGCCCTCGAGGCCTGGAGTTCCCCACCCTGAGTTAAACCATCTGTTCAGATCATTTAAATATGAAGTACAGCGATGTTTCCTTTACACAGCAGCAGCACAACTGAATTAAGAGCAATGTAAAGGGGCGCAGTGTTTTGGGCTCTGAGGCCTGTGTCCCCGCTCTGCTTCATAAACATTAAAATGTTGAGCAGTGCAGCTTCAGGTTGTTCTTGTTTCAGCAGCTCACAGCTTGTCAGTCAAGGATGTTCAGCTCTCAGGTTGGGAGTCCAGAGTGACTGTGAGGAATGCTGCAGCTCTTTGTTCATATCCGCCTGAGCTTGGAGACTAAAATATTTCAGCCTGCAGACTCTACACACATACTTTGAATTGTTTTACATACGAGGATGGCTCCTGTCATTTGTTTTTTGCCTTTTTCTTAAAACATCTGCAGGTTGGGGTGATCGATTTCTCCATGTACCTAAAAGACGGTGGACACAGCAGCAAGAGCGTGGAGGGGTGAGTCCTGGCTCCTGTAGTAACTGTACACTGTGGGCCTGTAATCGGAGCGTGTGTTTTGTTTTTGCTTCACTCCTACCTCTGTCGACTGACAGCCATTTGTCTTGAACTTAATTGACAGAAAGTGTTCTTTTATTTGGACGGCTGGATTGAGCCCCAGCCTTCGGACCATATTTTTCCAATGTGTGGCCTTTAAACTTGAATATTGAAAAAGATTTCTGTTCCATGCCTGAAACACATTTTAGCCTCAACAGTTTAAAAATACTGCACTAGAATGAGATTTTCTGTCAGATTTCTATTGTTTTGTTTGTGTTGCTGTGTGTTTGTGTGCCTGACGGCTAACTGCACGTTTCTCTTTGTGCGTTTTCAGGGACGGTCAGATCACAGCGATTCTCGATCAGAAGAACTACGTGGAGGAGCTGAACAGACATTTAAGGTTTGTCGGGGTGGTGCGCTCACTTTGCTCTCCTCACCTTGGCGAGCTCGGTGACTCACCTGCTTTCTGCCTGTTTACAGCGCGTCGGTAAATAACCTGCAGGCCAAAGTGGACGCTCTGGAAAAGTCCAACACGAAGCTGACAGAAGAGGCGAGTCTCACAGTGATCATCTTCAAAAACTGTCTTTAAATGTCAGCCTTGCATGCTTTTAGCCCGGCTGCAGGGACTTCCTGTTTACCAAGCTGCTTTGTTGATTTCTGTCCTTGCAGCTCGCAGTGGCGAATAACAGGATCATCACTTTACAAGAAGACGTGGAGAGAGTAAAGGAGGAGAGCTCGTATCAGCTGGAGTCCAGAAAGGTGAACGCTGCTTATCTGCCAGTTTATGCAGCAGCTGACTCGAGCATTTGGAAATTTGTAGTAAAAGCAAGCGTTCCTTTTTTCTTCAGGCATTAAGAAGTGATTCAGCAGCAGACGGACAAGCGCTGGGGGAAACACGCAAGCAGCTCAAAGAGGAAACTTTGCTTCGACTGGTGCGTTTCAGCTGTTTGACAGTCTTTGTGTAGCTTTAAGTCTGCTGAGGCGTTGATACCAGCGAGAGATTATACATGTAGCCGTGTCATCTGCTGACAAAGTTTGTAGTTAATAGTAACAAATGTGCTTGGCCTGTTTAGTGTGTTCATTTTTAGCTGCCATTTACACAGAAATACAACAAAGCTTATGTGGAGAAAGACAGTCAGCCCAGTCCAAATTCAGTCCATTTAGCTTAGTTTAATTATGACATTCCTGCTTATATTTTTCTAACTGACAAAGTCTGACTTGTGTGCAGGATGTGGAGAAGGAGCTGGAGGTGCAGATCGGGATGAAGCAGGAGATGGAGCTGTCCATGAAGATGCTGGAGAAAGACGTCTGTGAGAAGCAGGACGCTCTGGTGGAGCTCAGACAGCAGCTGGAAGACCTTCGTGCCATCAACCAACAGCTAATGCACAAGTCACAGGTGAGGCGGTGCTTCTCATGTCTGATTATGAGGACACTGCTTTTAAAAGGCTCACATCCACTTTTGTCTCTCAGGGCTTCACTCGTAGATTTCAGCTTTTCCCAGAAACTTGTAGGTGTTTAATTTCACTATTAGCTCTCTGTGAAATGATAAAGCATCACTTCCTGTCTAGAATAACTTGCAGTCAGCAGTAGATACTGACAGACAGTAAGAACTTGGCTTTTTTTTTTCAGTTAAGGCAGAAAAGAGGAGGCCACTTCAATGAGAAAGTTCAAAGGTCTGCTTAACTGTAAGAAGACTGAAACTGTTCCACAAAGCAAGAATAAAATGGACGATAGCAATTAGTTTACTGGAACACATTAGGCAGAAAAGGTTTTCAACCTGGCCTCAGATTAAAAGGTGCACAGGTGATCTTCACTTGTGCTCTGAGTTTAGTCTCTTAATATGATTTCTTGCCGTCTGATCAACTAGGGATGGTCGCATTTATCAGATATTTCATCCATCCACCTGTCCTTCCTTTTTCGGACCCCTATCCTGGTCTTCACAGCCGCCTAATCCCAATCCTCCACCTGCTGTTCTAGGGATGACGAGCAGGTGGAGGATTAGATCCCCAAAAATATCTTTTCACACAAATCTGAGTGTATATGGAGGAAAGACATCAGTTGACTAGTTTGGATCATCTTCTGCAGAGTGCCGATGCCAGCTCGAAACAGAAGAGTGAGATCATCGTTCGCATGGAGGAGAAAATGAACCAGATGTCAGGGACCATAAAACAGCTGGAGACCAGGTGAGGCTAGTTTATTATTACAGCACGATATGCATTTGGTGCTTCCAGATGACATGTCTTATGTTCATGGATGCATTTTCTCTCTCTTCACTTTCTTTTTCTTTAATTTTTTCCATCATTTGTTCGTCTGTTGTTTTGAAAAAAATCAGTGACAAACATTTGGCGAAGCAGGCCCGGAGCCTGAACTCTGCAGCGGGGAAGCTGCTGCAGCTGCAGCAGTAGCTGCCTGCTTTCACGAGTCTGAAAACAAACATACAACCCTGCCTAATATAGAAATAACCAAACTAGGATGTTATCTTTTCTGTACGATGCTCCTTTGTTGTTACAAAATAAAAACCATCTTCTTACAACCTCCTGCACCGGCGCTCCAGCATCAGCTTTTAGTGTGGACTGAATGGATCCTTTAGCAGCCCCTTAATCCTCGTGTTTTCTGCCAGATGTGTTCGCCACATCAGATTTCTACTTCAGATTTCCGTTTCTAAAAACTGCCCCGGTAATGCTTTAGTCAGACATAAGATGAGTAGAGGTGTCTGATGGACTGATGTGCCAATAAACCCATGCTGAATACTTGACAGTTGCTGTAATGTGATTCGTCCTCAAACCTGAGGCTGTCAGATATTCTCAACCGACAGAGAGAAGTGGCGTGTGGCGCCAGATATCAGAGGGGTTTGTTGAAGTCGAACGTCCAGCGCAGAAGAAGGAAGGGGCAAAATTAATGAATAATTTAAAATTGTATGTGAACATAAGTTTGGTGTCAACTGTAGTAATCATTAGGCTAATAAAACGCTAAACAAACAGTCTGCTTCATGGTCTTTGGTCACAGTGTCCCAGGTTGCTCTTACATTTTAGTTTGAGTTGATCTCTCTTCCCAGCCACGTTTCCCTTCATCACATTTTTATTTTTCCATGAGTTTATGTTAACCCGCTCACCCCAAACCAGATGCAAGCAGGCGGAGAAGGAGAGGGACCTGGCTTTAGAGGCGAACCGGCTCTTCAAGCAGGACTTTGGAGACAAAATCGAGAGTCTGCAGGTGGAGGTGGAGCAGCTGAGGAAGCAAAGGTAAAGTCTGGCGCCTCACTACTCCTGCTCCATCCGAAACACTGAGATGACCAAAACAAAGAGGAAGAGGACAAATCGCTTCCTTATTACTAAAACAGATTCTGAAGTACGATTTCACTACCTCATCTACACGAGGCGTTTTGTAGAAGCTGTGAGCCGTGGCAGTTGGCAAATCCACATTTTGAATTTATGCTGAAAATGAACATTCTTTCTTAATGTGGCCCTAATACTCCTTTCTATTTTATCAGTCTTTCTTTGTTAAAACAGTCAGACTCTCACTCTGTGGTCTCAGTGCTCTCATTGAGATCTTTTAAAATTTCATCACCCCTTTTTTTAACCATAGAAACGTACAAATACTAACGATATGTAGCCCATCAAACCACATCGATACAGAGAGTGGTTTCAGTCTTATGAGCTGTTTCTAGAAAGTTTTGAGTAGCGACGTTTCACACAGATTTCAGTTACACAGGACGTATAACATGCAGGTTCTACCTGACAAAGGGACAAACACCGGTCAGAGGCCTGGCAGGAAACTGCTGGATGCACAGCTGTTAATCAAAGCTGCCTGCTTATTTCTACTGTAACACTGGGCTTTCCTACCCCTTCGAGGTTCCCCTTTACCATAAACGTTGTTCCTTTTTCTGCTCCAGATATGTTTATTAATTACTGTCGTCACTGAACTATACGTTTCTATTCTTTGGCTTATTTTGCTGTTTCAGGTCTAATCTGGAGCGTGAGCTGAGAAAAGGTCACGATCGAAAGAGCGACCATCACCTCAGTGCCTCCTCGGTACCTCAGTCCAGCACTCCGCGGACCGACAGGAGACAACCAGGGGATGTACCAACAGTACGTGGATTCTCACATTAACGATATGTCCGACGAACAGCTGTCAGCTGTGGTTTGGTGGCTTATGACTGTGTTCTTAACAGCAACTCCCAGAATCCCCGTCAGTGAAGGAGAAAGACCAGTTCCAGAGTGGCCCAGAGGACAATACCAGCCTGTAGGTATCTCAGAGTTTCAGAAAATAAAGTGAAATTTATGGAAAAATAATTCACTTTTTTATGTCTCGTCTTTAACTTTGAAGGTCCCTGTCGCACCACGAGGATGAGCAGGTGAGATTTGACTTTTTACCTGTGTGAAAGTTTGGCCTTTTAATAAGTGGATGCTGAAGCAGTCAGCATGTACTGATGGCAGTGTGTCTTTGCACTGTTCAGAGACTCATGCATTTATTTCTTTTTGTTGTTCTTCCTCAGGAGTCGTTCTTGGAGATCAGCGAGCCTTCCATGTGTACGATGTGTGAGCACGCCGACTCCCTCCTCAAGACAAAGGTACAAATTACTGAGGATCATTTTGAACTTGAGTTATCAAGAATATTTTTCTGTTTGGCATTGAAAGTTTACAGCTTCTTTAAATAGTTGACTCCTGTTTTTCTTGGGTTGAACTTCCTAAAGCTGTTACGGCTGTTCCAAAACTTATTTTCTGTATCAAAAAAAATATCAAACATATGCAAATAGTCTGGTTCAAATCCTGATTGTGGGGGATCCATTCCCATCTCATCCGTCTCCAGGCTGAGCACAGGAGGTGGAACTCCTCTTGTCCCCACGCTTTTTAAGGACTGCCCACATCAAAGATCAGCATGATCATCTCAAAGGGCAAAGTGATTATTAAGACTCACAGGTAGTCAGTCAGCATTTTGGATCAGTGGTCAGTAAACTGCCCCGATCTCAAACCAATCAATGATCTATGGTCAGGCTTTAGAAGGCTGAAGCGGAGTCTTTGATTGGCCGGTTCTGGCCCTCAGGGTGGGTGCTGAATGGGGAGCTAACGTGGACTGCACCAAAGCCCAATATGAGATGAATATGATCTGTGAGTCATGCAAAGCTACTCTCATAGAACCAAAAAGTAAAAATAAGGCGCTGTAAATGAGCAGAATGGAGGAGAACTCGTGTCCCCAGCTGTGGTTTCCTTTAATGGAGTTTTTCTTCTTCTCTGCAGAAACAGTGTAAGAACTGCAGCGGCGTTTTCTGTGAGAGCTGCGTGTCCAAAGAGCTGCCTTTACCTTCCTCCATTCTCCCAGAGACGGTCTGCACCGCCTGCTACTCGCTGTTACTCCAACAATACGCTTCATCACCAACATGAACCCACAATCATCACACACAGCAGAGACGCGCGAGTGTAACAATGGCACCTAAAAACCAAAAAATCCCAACTTCCTGAGACATCCTAGGAATCACGGGGTCTGTGAGCTATTTAAATCAGTCTTGTGTGTGTGTGTGTGTGTGTGTGTGTGTGTGTGTGTGTGCGCGTGCGCAGGGTTTCCTTATAATAAAAACAGCTGACGCCATTTATCTTCCTTTTCTGGTTCGTGTTGGTGATTTAGGCTTCTGTCGGCACTTTTAAGCTAAACTTGCTCTCCCTCACATGGCTGGATTTAAACAAATAAATAAAAGAATCATCTCATTTATGGACACTAAGTGATGAAAAGTTTAACTGACATTTTTATCCCCAGTGTTAAAAGATAAAAAAGGAAAAACTGGAATTCAAGGCTCGGTGTTTCGATTCAGAGATCAGGATACGGAGTTACTCGTACCTTTATGCACTTTTGTGATTAAACTGGCGTCACATTCAGGGAAAATCCTGACAAACTCGGTCAACAAAATGACCAAATGCTGTCATGTTGTGTGTCATTACTTCCTTAAAGACTGTTTTAAATAAAAAATAAAAATTCATGCTA